AACTGCTATCAAGATTTTTTTTCATTAAAACCTACTCTTCTAAGTTTGGAACTGTCATCATCGTATGCATCACGCATAAGCGGTTCATTCTTATTGCTTAAACCAATCCCTGAAATAAAGTTGATAATACCGTGGAGTCACTAGAGGAAGGAACTTGCCATTGTGGGCATTTGGTAGGACGGTTCGCGAAACGCTCATCTCTGGCAAAACCCATCTACCTTCATCTTCATTCCAAATTGAATCTTTTTTCACCTTCTCAATGTTGTAGTAATTTGAATCCTGTAAAGAGTGAATTGGGTGTTTACGTAGAGTACCTAGCGCTAACGGCAGCTTACTTTTCTAATAATCGGCTGTATTTTATCGAGTATTTGGCCTAGAAGTTTCAGTTGTTGATCCTGCTTACGAATAGTCTCCAAATAGTCGAGACGATCCAGCTCAAACTCGCCTTGCAAATCTTCGACTTCAGATTCTAGTGCTTTGGACTAAACGATCAATAGAAAAATGTGATCGATGCACATTAATGAAAAGGTAATTTAGTAAAGAAAGAGCTTTAAAAGAAAAACGTCTGGTGTTTACCCTATTCTTTTCTTTCTGTAACTCAGCAGTAACAGCATCAAGTTTTTCTTGGGTGGAACTATACACCTGCAGCAACGGGTCGTCCTTGTTCACATTCAAAGCAGCTTAAAAAAATATAAAAGTTAGATGCAAACTATGCGAATTTCGCATGGACTAGAACCTAACATTCTACATCAAATTTGATTACATAAACATTTTACATCAAATTGTATAAAAACCTGCTAATCGTTGCATTTTCGACTCTGCTTCTTTCAACTTCTTCGTCCTTTTCTGTTTCAATTGCTCGTTGTCTGCCTTAAATTCGGCAAGTCAATCTATTCCTTGCAGTCAACCAAGTTATTTAAAATATTCTATCTAAGGGCATCTGTATATTGTATATTGTCACGAAAGAGATTTTATGGCAAAGGTAGTGTTAGTAGTAAAGAAACTTTCGATAGGATTAAGTGAACATTTCTGTAGATTAACAACGACTGGGATTTCAGTTAAGGTTTCCTTTCACCAAGAATTCTAAGATCTGAAAATATTGAAATTCTAGGTCAGTAGCATGCCTGTTCTCCTCCGACGAATTGTTGCTGTAGCTGTTCAAGTTTACGAGCAGCCTCATGAGGATCTAGG